TTGGGAGTAACAAAGTTGTGGAGAGTAAATAATGGTTATATGGGGCAGGTTTAGGTGGACATTGGTAAATGACCAGTTTTGCGAATGCTTCATTTCGAAATGGGCATTAACGGTTTAGTCACTTCTTTGAGGGGAATGAATTAGGCATAATGATGTGCCGGTGTTGTAGAGATAAGTTTATTACGATACTCTGTAGTCTGTTAGAGGGTTATAAATTAGCTAAGGGCGAAAAAGTACATGCCTGTACATGTACATTGGTTAATTTGGCCAATTGAAATGTTAATTCCACCAAAGTGTAAATAGTTAAGCATAGATATTCCCTTAGTGCACAGAAATCGTAGTGATGACAACGTTGTGATTTGGCGGCCGATCATATATAAATATATTCTCGTTTGGCGGTAATTTGTCAAATTATGCCTCCAAATCACTAATCACATGGTACTGATAAGTTTATTGATCAATAATTGTCATCCGATAATTTTCGACCCCACTCAATTTTTACATGCGAGGGGGTTGCCAATGTATATTCAGTCGAATTTGTTCGCATGTCAATTCTTAGTTTTCCGGCCCCCATTCGATTTGAATGCGGGGGGACCTAGTTGTACCTACACACTTTCAAACTCAGGGTGTCACGCTTTAATCTTAGGCATCATCCGATCTTACAGGCGGAGAGGCTGGTATATATATACATCTATATTCTATAACTTTAGGCATCACTCGATTTTATAGGCGGGGGGCTGATATAATGACTTAATGTATATGGGTGGTATTCCGGTAGCGCGTACTAAGTTAGCGCGCACTTAGTTAGTTCACACTTTTATGGAGTGCCAGTTGCCAACTCATTTACCTAGTACAGATTATTTTAATCCTTCAAAAAAAAGTGTCCACAAAATTAATTTTGCAATGAAATGGGAAGAAAAGGATAATATGAGTTTGAACTGAATTTCAACAAAGTCTTTGATAGATTATCTTTGTCATGAATATTGAAGGAGAGAGATGAAACCTAGCATTCCATAGAAGTGTGAACTAAAATTCTTGTTTAGTCTGGACTTAGTCCCGGCTTAACTTATGAGAATACCACCCTATAAGTTTAGCCTAGGCATCACTCGATTTCATAGGCGGGGGGCCTAGCATAACTTTAGGCATCACTCGATTTTATAGGCGGGGGGCTGATATAATGACTTGATGTATATAAGTTTAGCCTAGGCATCACTCGATTTCATAGGCGGGGGGCCTAGCATTGCATTTGTAAGCATTTTTTATGATTCAATATATCTGTGTTATGTTGTTATGACACCCAGAAAATCAAAATGTGCAAAATAAGCGTCCATCTCAAAATGTTAATAAAGCCACGACATAAACGCAAATTTGGTTGTTTGTTATTTTTGTTAGCCGTGAATAAATTGCTATACATGTTAATTAATGAAAATAGTTGCAATTGATATAGCCCCTTTTCCACTTGATACAAAACGCTTTGAGATACCATTCATTAGTCAATGTAACCAGGCAGTGACAGTGTCAGTTCAATTAATGCATAAGGTTTTAGAACAGGAAGGTCTCCAAATTCTGTTTGAATTTTTCTACTGTTGGCATGTTGGTGATGATTTTAATTCGAAGGCGTAATTTGTCCAGAGTGTACGAGCAGGAGAGGTAAAAGCTGCATCTCCAGCTAATTTGTCGATGAGTGGTTTAATAAAGATCACTGACGATCTTTTGTCCTCCTATAAATCAAATTGTTTAAATTGCAGCCAACATCAAATTCTGTAGAACTTTGCAGGAATTATAAATATGTCATGTATGCCTTATCTGTGAAATTTAAAAGTTAACAGTTTCTTATTATTCAAATTATGCAAGGAAACTCGTTTACTTGCTAGATTTCACTGTCAGACAATATTGAGTGACTGACTGGCTTTTTTTTCTTCTTTAGTAATAAAATACATACAATGAGCTGTAAAGGGTACATGGGATTTTGTCTACATCAATAACCCACTTCTTGAATCTTTGCGCAGCATAAAACGTACGACCATTCGGTACAATGGTTTGAAAATCAGTCGATTACTCACTGACTTAATAGCTTTTAAGTAGATTCGAAAAATAATAGTCGTTATTTTCCCACTTAAATACATTTTCAAGCCCCCTTTTTCTTAGGGAAGTTCTAAATTAGTATTATCTTTCAAATGCCGTTGGATTATAACCTTTTCATTTTTGTGGCCTGCAAATGGGACATAGTACCTTTAAATGCTATTCGTATTCCATGCACAGGTGTTACAGATGAAACAACAGCGCCGACAACGTTAACAAGTGTGAGTTATCCTCCATAAGGGTTATCTGACATACAAACATTCACTAGGAAGACTGTAATTTAGTGTAATATGAAGAAATATCTAACTATTTTTTTCAGATGAAATCTTGTATAACATCATAATTGAATTCGTCCTACAATTTATTTATTCTATTTTACTCACTCGCTTTATCACCTATTCATTCATGCATTCATTTAATTTCATTTACTTGTTGATAGTTAGATCACTAATAAGTTTCATAACACAAAGTTGAATGATAAAACGATACACTTAATATTGATTGCTTGGTTACTGGATTCTTATTCTTCTACTTAGTTATGCATGTAAATCTGAATTATCACATTCTACGATTTAGTTATTTCATGAATTAATCTATTATTTTACTGACGGCAAATAATTGTATATTTCTGTTTTATAACAGGCCAGGCGTGAAACGCCTACAGAAATACGGACTCCAACCCCAGGTAAGTATTCACATTAATTGGGTACCTGGCAATCGCTAAATTAATACTAATTTCAGGACCCTCTGGCAAAATAGCACTGGATCTGATGAGGCTTCTCTTGGTAGACAAAATCATGATTATAATTATTATTATCATTTATTATTCAAGATAAAGCAAATCCAGATAAAACACTATTGGTTATGAGAGTAGGCATACAGCAATTAGAAACATTATAATTACGCGCTAAATAAATGTAACTATTATGATTTTATTAGTAGTAGTATTATTATTGTTGTTGTTGTTTATATTGTATCCTCGTTTACAGATATCGAGTTAAGATTTCGTATAATTTTGTGTAATAATTGAATGTTTCATCATTATCAAAATTGAAAATACGTGGGCGGGATAGGGGCCGTAAATAATACTTTTGGGGCGCAGCATCCAAAGTTCCCCGCCTCCCCCTACAAAAATATCCTGCCGTTGTGTAGATATTGACGGTATCCTTTGCCTCATAATTCAATTAGAAATAAATATGAAACTATCCAACAGGCTGCATGAAATTTCAACTTATCCTTTAATAAATCAGTCAGGTATAGGGATATGCTATATGTATTTTCATGTCAAGTGCATGTCTACGTAACCTTGTAGTGGGTTGGAAGGGGTTAGTCTTTACCTAGCATTGCATCTTTTAATGTTAGTCTGTTTACTGCTATTCTTATTCCAAACATAGGTGTCAGAGGTGAAACAAACGTGCCGACTAGGTCAACAAGTGTGAGTTATCCATAATGGGGTCATGGGACGTACACACATTTACTGGGAAGAATATGATTCGATGTTAAATAATTTACTAACTTATTTGTTTTATAGATAATTATGTTCATAACATGATGAACTGAATTAACGTTCAAATTACAATTTATTCATTCTATTTTACTCACTCGCTTAATCACTTATTCATTCATTCACTCATTTATTCCATTTTATATATTTGTGCAATGTTCTTTTGACATAAATTTTTCTTTTTCTCACTTACAAATAAAAGTATTAAACATCGATAATGAGTGAGAACAGTAATAGGTTTCATAACAGTAAGTTGAATGTTAAAACGATACACTTAATATCGATCATTGCTTTAGATGGTAACTGGGTTGTTTCATATTTTCCTACTAAGTTACGAATGTAATTCTATATTATCCCGTTTTCATGAAATCTACGTATTACCATAAAATGATTAAAGTTATTTCATGAAATAATCTATTAGGATTATACTGACGGGAAAGAATGGTACATTTTTGTTGTTTGATAACAGGGCACTCCTGAAACGCCTACAGAAGATCAGACTCCAACGCCAGGTAAATATTCACAAAATTATTGGAGGTGTAAGGTAAAGTGGTTCATTCACCTGACTCTCACTCCTAATGTTTAGGGTTCGAATCCCAGACCGGCACCAATGTCCTTTGGCAATATATAAACCCACATTCACCACTTCCAACCCAGCTGTAAATGTGTACCTGGCAATTCGTAGTGTAATAATAATTGCAGGGCCCTCTGGCAGAACAGCACTGAAGCTGATGAGACTTTTCCTGTAAACAAAATTTTGATTATCATTATTATTATCATGTATTATTTAAGATGAGACAAAACCAGATAAAACAATATTGATTACTAGAGTAGGCATACAGAGATTAGAAACATTATAATTAAGAGCTAAATATATGTAACTATTATCATTTTACTACTAGTAGTAGTATTATTATCATTGTTGTTGTTGTTGTTATTATTGTTATTTTTTGTGGATTGCCTGGCCTCATGCTCACGACACTGGCAATCCAGAGTAGGAAATGTACAATAAACATACAAGTATTTGATGCAGTGGGCCAGTAAGCCGAGGTAGCGTTTCTTCTTCGGAAATTTTCGTCATTTTGTGTTGTTCCTCGTTTACAGATATCGAGTTAAGATTTTGTATATTTTTGTGTAATAATTGAATGTTTTATCATTATCGAAATGGGGCAAACACTATGGCGGGATTGAGGCCGTAAATGATACCTTTGGGGGCGCAGCATCCAAACCTCTTTGCCTCTAAGGATACACGAGTCTGCCGTTGTGTAAATATTGAAGGAATCCGTTGCCGTTATCCAAAAGGCTACATGACATTTCAACTTAGCATTTAATAAAGCGGTCAGATATAGGGATATGCTATATGTATTTCCATGTCAAGTGTAGGTCTACGTAACCCTTTACCTAGCATCGCATCTTTTAATGCTCGTCTTGTTAATGCTATTCTTATTCCAAACATAGGTGTCAGAGGTGAAACAACCGTGCCGACAAGGTCAACAAGTGTGAGTTATCCATAATGAGGTCATGGGACGTACACACATTTACTGGGCAGAATATAATTCGGTGTTATTTAAATAATTTACTAACTTATTTGTTTTATAGATAATTGCTTTCATAACATGATAAACTGATTTAACGTTCAAATTACAATTCATTCATTGTATTTTAGTCACTCGCTTAATCATTTATTCATGCATTTATTTATTACATTTTATATATTTGTGCAATGTACTTTTGACATAGATTTTTCTTTTTCTCACTTACAAATAAAAGTATTAAACATCGATAATGAGTGAGAACAGTAATAGTTTTCATAACAGTAAGTTGAATGTTAAAACGATACACTTAATATCGATCATTACTTTAGATGGTAACTGGGTTGTTTCATATTTTCCTACTAAGTTACGAATGTAATTCTATATTATCCCGTTTTCATGAAATCTACGTATCACAATAAAATGGTTAAAGTTATTTCATGAATTAATATTTTATGATTATACTGACGGGAGAGAATGGTACATTTCTTTTTCATAACAGGGCACTCCTGAAACGCCTACAGAATATCGGACTCCTACGCCAGGTAAATATTCACAAAATTATGTAGAGGTGTCATGGTAAAGTGGTTCATTCACTTGACTCTCACTCCTTATGTTTAGGGTTCGAATCCCAGACCGGCATCAATGTCCTTTGGCAAGACATGAACCCACATTCGCCACTTCCAACCCAGCTGTAAATGGGTACCTGGTAATTCGTAGTGTAATAATAATTGCAGGGCCCTCTGGCAGAACAGCACTGAAGCTGATGAGGCTTTTCCTGTAAACAAAATTATGATTATTATCATCATCATTATTTTATTATCAAAGATAAGAAAAATCCAGATAAGACACTATAAGTTGCGATAGTACAGTTATTAGAAACATTAGTATGTAACTAGTATTATCATTTAATTATTGTTAACTACGATTGTTATTAATTTTGGTAGAATTATTGTTATTATTATTATTATTATTACCGTAGTTCTTACTATTATTATCATTATAGTATTAGTCGTAGTAGTAGTAGTAGTTGTTGTAGTAGTACTTTTAGTATTACATGTATTACTTTCATCATCACTCTTATTTATCATTATCATCGTTGTTATCAATATCATTAATATTTCATGGTTGAGCTAACGCTAGAAGTAGCGTTCCTGTACAGACAGCAACCAGTAAAGTATGGTTCAATATCAGGAGAGGCGTTCTATTTCTGTACTTCTATATTATTATTATTATATCTGTACACTAAATGGGGGTGGGTGGGCGGAGAGGGGCATCTATTGCAAGATAACGGAGCAAAAATATACGATATACATACATATATGTATTTGGGACAGTGGGAAAGTTAGCCGAGGAAGCGTTTCTGCCTCGCAAATTTTCGCCGTTTTGTTTTGTATCCTCGTTTACAGATGTTGAGTTAGAAGTTTGTATAGTTTTGTTCAAAAATAAATATTTGTCTAATTATTAATATGAACGACGGTGGGAAGGGGGGGGGGCATCGCGGGGGAGGTTTGAATAATATTTTTTCGCCTGCATCATCCACAGCCCCTCGCCCCCCCCCCAACACAAATAAACGAAAAACATGAATCTATTGTGTGGAAAAATTAAAAGCATTCGTTGCCTTATAATGTAATTCGATATAGGTATTGTATTATAGGTCTATATTATGGACAAGAGATTTTTCATCATTTTAACGTAATTTCATCTCTCCGTATACCTACTATGAAAGTAAGCTAATATAGATGGCCAGATAGTCCTACGCCTTCTTCTCCAACGGCCAATGGACTTGGGCAAACATTCTTTCAAAAACAAAATTACACAAAGAACATAAAGAGAGAGAGGGTGAAAAAGTCAAACCGTTGCTTTAGACAGTGTGTGGTGTTAACGATCTTTCAGGAGAAATTCGAGATTATGCGACAGGCTACATGAAATTTCATCTTGGCCTTTAAAAAAATCAGTCAGGTGTAGTCTTATGCTACATGTATTTTTTTACGTCAAGTGTATGCCTGCGTAATCTTTAAGTGGGTTGAAAGGGGTTAATCTGTGCCTAGCATTGCATCTTTAAAATTGATATTAATTCATAACACGTTCACAAAGACTTCCTATAAATTAATTCAAAGGCAATTAAAATACACTATTGCATATATCCCAAAGAAATCTTTTCTGGATTAGGTAATACGTCGCTGTAATGCTCGCATATTTTAAAAGGTGATGACTAAGGCTATTGAACTTGATCAAGGTTCGTTCTTTGAAAGCCTTTGCGATCGTATTTTAATATAGACATACGTTAATAGGTATCGTCAAACGTCACATCAAATGTTTATTTCGGTTATTTTCCACAGATTTTACCACAATTCACCAGGCATTGCCCACAACACCATCACAAGCAGACATAGTCCACCAGAAGACCTCCCTCTTCAGACGGATCGAGGGACGGCGCCTTCGAAATCACGTGATCAAAGCCAAACATGGCTTGTCATTGGTCAAATGCGGTGCCGAGTGTAACAAGCGAGATGACTGCGTGTCATTTAACATCAGCAACGGTGTGTGTGAACTCAACAACCAGGTGGTAGGCGGCACCGGTGTCGACGGAGACGACTTTGTTGAAGAAGTGGGATTTAAATATTATGAGAAACAATAAACTTAGAGTCACAGGTTTTCTTGGACGTATTAATCGTCATGACAATAGTTTGCGAAAACAGGTGATTGGCGTTAAGGTTGTACATATATGTTAATTATTCTTCTTCGTATAATTATCGTTGTCTTATTATACCAATTGAGGTCATGAGTAATCACAGAGATTTGTTGATCAATATGTTGATTTACTTCTGTTAATGTGTGTAATGATACTTTAGAGGTAGAAAATGACACCAACTTAAAGTTGTATCGTACGTGCGATTAAAAAATTTACTTTTCCAAATGATAATTATCTGTTTAACCAGAATTGTTTGTTACAATCGCTAACACATGTAAAAATTGTTTTGTCATGATTTAGAGTACATGACTGTATGTAAATAATACTTTATTTGATTGTGTGAATTCTATATCCATTACATTGTTAACATTGTAAAATAAATTTATTTAAAACGCGCCTTTTTTATGTCTGACTACTGCCATTATGTAACAAAACGGTATAAAGAAAAATTACACTTCATCATTTATAAGTAATGAAGAGACAATTAACACGAAAACGTTTGACTCGACTTATTAATTATTTGGTTTCTGAATCATCTTCTGAACAAAGGCCTACATTTTCATGAATTTCAACATAACGGTATTAATCTGATAAGGTTTTAAAAAAAAACACATTCACGCACACCCACACAACCACTCATCCCACATACAAACACAAAGAAAATACTGAAGGTTGGATATTGATGTTCTCAATCTTCACGCCTTGACTGTTGGGGCACAATAAATAGGTTTTGATTTTCAAGATGTAATCTGAACTATGGGTAAACCTAAATATTAAATGCTGAAAATAGGGCCTTTGTTTTATCTGAACCGAATCAGATTCCATATGACTAGGTCTTAGCTATACAAGGACACATCTTTGTTCTCAGATATCGGCTTTGTACATAGTATTTCCCCGGTCGTAAAAATTGAACGCAATAAGAATTTGACGTTTTATACAGTTTTAAATGACCAACCTATGGGCTTACAGGTTTATTTATCTCATGTGATCGGGAAGGCACATCGACTTGATATAAGACCGGTGTTGGCGCGACTTAAATCACTTCATTAGAATTGTGTGTTCATCAGAATCTTGTTTGTTGGCAATATCTTGTTAGTAGATTTTCCTACTTTTGCAGTGTTGCGCTAGAATTTGATTAATTTTGTTGTAAATTCAAATCCTTTTTGATGGCTCATCAGATCTGTGTACATAATTAAGTTGAAAGAATTGCTAAAACCTAGGCCCATAACTGTCAGTGATGAACACATATTCAAAGCCCATAATTGAGTTTTAAGTTAATTTCTTTTATAATGGTTTTCAGTACAAGTCCTATCCCCACTTATTTCATTTCTTTCTCCTATCTTTCCTTGTGTTATTCTTTGTTCCAAACTTTTATTTTTATTTCAGTATGCTGTTCCCTGTTTAAATACTGCGTTGATCTCTTCTTTTGTGTATATCTTCGTTCTCTTATATTTAAAAAGAAATCATTACTTATTTCATTCTTTATTCTACCATTCTACCATTCACCCCTTTGCCCCTTATTTGATCCCCTTTCTCCTTTAAACCCAATCTTTTCTCCTATCCTTCTCTTTGAATTTCCGTCCCATAGACAACTAAAGTATTAATTCCATATAAACTGCATATAGGCATTACTAAAAATAAAAGGCACCAATATGTTCTTCGTGTTTAAGTGAGGACCAAAAAGCAACCATCATTCTTACTTTGTTCATCAGATGTGCATTGTTTGACTGGAGAAAAAAAAATGATTTTGAGTCATGGGTAAATTAAAAACACAAAAGATGTCTTATTTTATAATTTGTTTTGTAATACGGTGCCAATCATGATATAATACATTCCCTAGAAAGAAAGAAATAGGGCTCAGAAGTAGCCTATACTTTGTTTAAAAATATTGGGAAAAAAGTAATGTGGCAAAATGCATAATTGAAATTGTAATAATTTCAAGGAGCGAATGAAACTATTTGAGCTAATATCCTAATAGCCTAATACGATATTTTGATGTTTTAAGAATAATAAATAAAATGAACATAATTTGTATTATCTTATATCAATATTCTCTTCATATCTTTTAACATATTGAATTGTAATGTGCATACGGTTGGGTTAAGTAAATCATACGTGGAAGAAGTCTGAAAACAGAACGTGAGAGAAGAGAGAGAGAGAGAGAAAGAAAGAGAAAGAAAGAGAGAGAGAGAGAGAGAAGAAAGAAAAAAGGATAAGAGAATAAGAGAGAAGTATTTAATGGTAAGAGATGTTAATGTTATGAAAATGAGAAATATATAATGCTGTGACTTGGTGAGAGAAATAGAGCAAATGATAAAAGGAAAGATAATAAAAGAGAACAATGGTGTGAAATGTTGATATCATGAAAATGAGAAATACATAATGCTGTGACTTAGTGTGTGAGAGAGAGAGAAAGAGAGCAAATGAGAAAAGGAAAGATAATAAAAGAGAACAATGGTGAGAAATGTTGATGTCGTGAAAATGAGGAATATGTAATGCTGTGAGAGAGAGAGAGAGAGAGGGAGAAAGAGTGAAAGCAGTTGCCAATATCATGTTCAAAATAGTTTAACAGTTTTTAATACTATTAAAAACAGTTTAAGCATGTGGGGAAGGGGGGGGGGGTAATACCACCATCATATTCCCTGTCCCACCGCTCTCTCCAACTGACAGGGTTTGGAACAGCTGATAAATATACACATGATTGGGTTCTCAAAAGAGAAAGGGGATGGGGTGTCAAGTTACATTTAAAATTACCTGAGCACCCTCCTCCCCCACACAAAAAAAAATGTGAGGAAAAAAAAAATTCAATATTAAATGTTCTCATTTGTTTTCAGCAATTAAAAAAAGCGTTCTAATTATCCACCAGAAAATGTAATGTCATTTCTCTCTCTCTCCCCCCCCCCCCCCCCCATCTTAACAATTTCACTCCTAATATCCCCCATCCCCTTTCTACATTTTCCTTTTACTTTTACTTTGTTTTTCCTTTTAAGCTTGGGCCATCATGGACTGATTATACACATATAATTTAATTACATCAATCTTTTTAAAGATTACTTATTGCCAATGAACAAGATCCATTTGCGATTATTATGGTAGGAAAGATAATTAAAATCTATTAAACACAAAAGACGCCAATATTCATATGACGCCGACCATTCCAACTCTCTAAATAAGCAGCAATCGTGACAACTGTAATCATTTTTTATTTGAGAAGGCAATAATGCCTGGTCACTTTCGTGGACCTATTCATAAAATTTAAAAGCTTGAATAATTATGTTTGACTCGGTTTTTTTCTTCTCTCCAGCAGTACGAAGCTGTATTCAATAATCAGTGAAAATCATATCGAGTCCTCATCATAATAAAATACTTAGAAGACACTGATTCGCCAAAACTGGTGAGTTTTCATTGGCCAAGTGATGAGTACATTAACACTCATGAATAAATTAAGCGGAGATGACCTTTCCCAATGTGCATGTTCGATGCTGATCCGCGCTGTATTTTGTTGTTTACTGTTGCGTGAAGAGCATATACGAATGTAGGAAGCATCGAACATAAAATGAATAATTCATGAGGCTTCGGGCGCTTTCAGATCGTGTTATAATAGGGACTTTTAGATTTGCGTGGACTGATACGTGTAACGTCCATTCAAGGCAGTGCATTAAAAGGACGTCGATCGTGGCAATCCACGTTGTCGTTGTGCAAATCTAAAAATCTCTAATCACTGAAATCTAACACTACCTAGTGTAAGAGTCCCGGTAAGAGTTCAGTTGTTCAAACTTCAAACATGGCGGAGCTTGGGAGACTGGTTTCGTGAAGCTACGCACGCGACTAGACTGGCACAAACAGGGGCAACCACACACTGACTGCATTTGGTAACCTCCCCTACTCTACCCATTAACCCTCCCCCCCCCCCCCCCCCCCCCCCCCCCCCCATTGGCGTCTCGCTTAACCAGAAACGCATTTAATGGATCAAATTTTCACTGGCAATTAAGGTTCCCGTTTGTTTGTTAGTATATTGTGCCCTCTTGTGCTGAAAAGGAAACATGTCGGTATTTTGTTTTTATATGAGATATTACAGCAACAAGTCTGGAAACAGAACGTGCGAGAACAGTGGCAGAGATAGAGAGAGAGAGAGATAGAGAGAGAGAGAGAGAGAGAGAGAGAGCAAAAGAGAAAGGGAAAGAACTAAGGGAGAACTATTTGATAGTGAAAAATGTTGATATAATGGTGTGAGACGAAAGAGAGAGAAAGATGGAGTTAGGAAGAAAGGGTGAAAACAAATGCCAATATCATGCTCATATATGTAGTATTATAAACAGTTTGAGCATGTGGGGAGGGGGGGGGCAATACCACAACCATACTGCTTGTTCCGATTCATGTGAATTGCCCCCGCTCAATCCCGACACAGTTTGGAAGAACTGATCAAACTACACTTGTTTGGTTTCTCAAAAGAGAGAGGGGAGAGGGTGTCAAACTTTAAATCTAAAACTGAACACCCCCTCCCCCACCAAAAAGAAATGTGAGAATGATAAATTTCACATTTCAAACGTCAAATTTTTCCAATCGCTTTCAACAAGAAGACAAAAAGCGTTCCAATTTGACCACAGATAGTATAACTGTGTCCCCCTCCTTCTCTACGATTCCGCCCTAATATCCCTAACCCCTTTCTATATTTTCCTTTTCTTTAAAAAAAAAACTTTTAAGCTTGGGCCACCATGGACTGATTATACGGATAAAATTATATCATGGCAATCCTTTTAAAGATAACTTACTGTAAATGAACAAGTCCCCTTTGTGATCAATATTATGATAATAATAAAAATGTATTAAACACGAAAGACAACAATATCCGTATGACACTAGCCATCCCAACTCTCCAAATAATCAGCAATCATGACAATTGCAATTATTTTTTATTTTTATTGGAGAAGGCCATATTACCATGTCACTTTTGTGGATCCAGCTAGTATTTTGATGAAACTATTGACATATGTTTCCCCCTGTTGACAAGATTATTAAAAAGCTTACCAAATGATAACC